CTTGTAGAGCTGATATCTTTAGACTTCATGGACAATATCAAACATACATACGTTATTTGTTTACCCACCTTCCTTGTAGAGTTTGTCTAACTTCTGATATTGATCATGCTGTTAATGGAAATGATTATTTGACAATTACATGTCATTGGATAGATGATACTACTTGTATGCAAAAACGTATTATCGCTTTTAGATATGATGAAGATCAGAGTCATACTGCTGCGTTTATAAGTAGTACTATTTGTAAAGTTGTTGAATTTTATAATCTAAAGCAAAAAGTATTGTGTATGACTTTTGAGAATGCTTTTAACAATAATACCACAATTTCAATATTAAAATTGCATTTGCAACCACGTCCTGCTGAAATTTTTCATGTTAGGTGTGCATGTCATGTTTATAATTTAATTGTTAAAAGTGGCCTTGATTTATTTTCAACTGAGATTACTCATGTTAGAAGAGCAGTTGGTGTTATTCAAGGAAATAATAGACAATCTAGAATAAAGGAATTTAAGAATAAGTGTGTCCAGTATAACCTTAAACCCAGATTCATGCCAGACGAAATTGTTACTAGATGGAATTATACATATATATTTTTAAAATGTTGCTACAAATATAGATTTCCAATAACTGAAGTTGCTAATGCGCATTGTACTGATCCAAACCGTATGTTAACAACTACTACTTGGGAGGTCATTAATGATGTTGTTAAATTTTTACATAAATTTTATACAGCTACTGTTGAGTTTTCTGGAGCATATTACCCTACTGTTACTATGGCTTTAGTACATATAGCTGAAATTTCTTTTCTACTCTTTGAATTTAAGAAGAAAGAAAAATATAGGGATGTTGTTGAAAAAATGCAAGCAAAATTCAAAAAATATTTCTTTCCAATTCCTCCGATTTACTTAATTGGTGCTGTTTTAAATCCTTCTATTAAGATGTCTGATTGTCACCAATTAATGAATGCTTTATATACTTATATGGAGATTGGACCAACTGAAACCCCAGATTTATATACTTGTATGAACAAGCTAAATGAATATTTACAACAATTATATAATTATTATGCAAATGTAATTGATGATGCTGCTCTTAATGTAGGCAATGTTAATCCAACTATGCATTGTACCACTTCTGCTACTGTGGATGATGAAGAAGGCCTTGATAGTTTTACTATTTTTTCTACATTTTCTAACACTCAAACCAGTAGCAGGAACATTGATGAACTTCAATTCTACTTGCAGAAGCAAAAAGAGCCTCGCACAAAGGAATTTTCGCTGTTGGGATGGTGGCATGAGACTGGAAAGCAATTTCCTGTTCTTTTCGCTATGGCTCGGGATGCGCTGAATGTGCCAATTTCTACTGTTGTATCGGAGAGTGCATTTAGCCAAGCAAGACAACAACTTGGAGACACCCGTCACTCATTGGGAAGCNCAACCCGGAACCGGCCCGGACCGTAACCCGTACGGGTCCATAAAATAGAAGCCCGGACCGGCCCGGTTAGCCCGTTAAACACCTCTAGGTCATATTGACAAAATAAAGAGTAAGCCAACTACAATGGGATGGAGGGATTTTTAAATTAGATTAACACACAGTAATCTTGAGGGGCAAGATGGATTATTTTGTGACCAGCTTGCAATTTCAAAACAGAAGTACTAACAGCACAGAAAGAGCTTCACCAAAAAGGCTACTAGATACCGTGACCAAGGGCCTATCCATATCATAGGATTCTCTAGGAGATTTAGTAGCAAAGAGAGCAATTTCGTTTACCCTCATTTCAAAATTTTCAAATAACCACAGAATGCAATTTTGATCTGTTTTCCCGATGGAGAGATGAATGATGTATTCTACCTAGAGAAAAAAAAGGTCCAGCAAAGATTGAAGACTCTTCATATGCTTCCATTCATTTTATATGGCATGTTTGATTGGATGTGGATTTTAAGAAAGAAGGAAAGACTTTTGGTACATACCAAAAGTACCCTCAAAACTTGTATTTTTAAACATGTCATGAGATTTCGATATCTATATTTGCATGTCATTAAGGGTAAAATGGGAAACTTAAAATCAGAAATTTTCCAAATATGGAATGATGCCATTCTTTTTTATACTGACTAAAAAGAAAAAAGTGTCATATAAAATGGAACAGAGGGAGTAGTTATTATGCACATAGATGAGTAGTTCAACTAGACATGCATCTATGATACACAGTAAAGATTCAATGAGAAATAGACCAGTGATTAAACGAAGTACCTGAAAGCAAAAGCGAACAGTAGGAGAAAGATCGGTGCTGCAGATTTACACTGCAATGATAAACTTGCCATTAGGAGCCAAGAATTAATGGGGTAAGGTAAGGAAACTAGAGGATTATTCTTTTTTTATAATAAAAGGTAGAGGATTATTTTGCTGACTCTCCATTCAAGTCTTTCAAATAACATTTTCGTGACAGGGTTGTATTGTCTGTGTTTTTAAAATTTTAATGGGTGTAAGTGAAATTTTTAGAGACTTGAAGGAATGTTGGGTTGTATCCTTTTCTATGTTCCCTGGTGATTCAAACTTTCCAAAACAAAAGTTCATCATATTGATTGGTAATGCATGATTTACAAGGAGAAAGGATACACACCATAGTAGCAAATGTGACTGATATGAAAACAAGGGATGCATTGCTGAGGTTGACATCCATTGCCGTACTGAGAGCTGTGGGTACAACTGTGAAAGGCAAAGGCCATCTGTAGCATTAGTTGTCAGAAAAGTTAATAAAAATTAGCAGGAAACTATTGAAGACCAATATATATAAGTTATGCACTAGACTTCTCAATACAGGTGCAAATAAATAGCATAAGTGATCATATGCCTCAAATAAATGAAGAACAGAAATTCTTTCCCCAAAAAAACAAATAAATGAACAGAAACTATAACTTCAAGTAGATAAGATAAATTGAACTATCATTATAGTTCAGACAACACCACCATACCAAAATATAAGCATTGCAATAAAAAATCCTGATGCTTTGACAAAAAAAGGTACTGAAAAGCAGAAAGATCACACGCCTATTAGCGGGAAACTGGTATGAGGTTCCAAATATACCTTTTTATAGGGAACATAATCATAGATGACTCAGTAATTGCAAATGAGTATGTGAACTTGAGATTGAACCAGAAAAAGAGCAGGTGTAATGTGGTAGACTTGGAGAAAGCATGCAACCACAAAATTTGTTCTGTAATGAAGGACATTGGCTTTGATGATAGATTGAATTAAGTGGAAAAACATCTGCATTTCTTCAATCAGATTAGCTATCATAATCAATGATTTCCATGAAGGTTTCTTCCCTTCCACCGGAGAATTGAGCTAAGAGTGAACCCCTGTCGCCTTTCTTATTTATACTTGTAATGAAAAGATTACGTCGGATCCTAAATATAGCAACAGGTAAAAGGTGGATTTCTGGATTTTGAAGTAGAAATTATGCTGGAAATTCAGTAACGGTATCTCACATCTATTGACTGATGACACATTAATATTCTATGGGGGACGAGGAACAATGTACTTTTAGAAGCTGTACTAGCTGCCTTTAAAGCCGTATCTTAGTCTACACATAAATATGGCTAAAAAGCTCCTTGTTCCCAGTGAATGAAGAGAGTGATATCCAACAGTTAGCAAGTACACTTGAAGGTAGGGTGGTAAATTTCCTACGGCGTACTTGGACTTCCTTTAGGAGGAAACACAGGAAGAGATAATATGGAAAGGAGTAATTGGTTGAGAAAAGATTAGACACATAGAAGAAAATACTTATCTCTGGGAGGAATATTAACACTGGTCAATATTGAGTTGGATAGTATCCTCGGTCCTCATAAATGTAACGTCTCCATTTCCTATACTTGTAAGTATCGAGAAACAGTTGCACAGTATAAGAAGTAATTTCCTTCGGGGAGAGAACTGTGGAAAATGTAGGTGGTGCAATGGTCCAACGTGACAACAGCTAAGAAAGAAGGTGGACTGGGAGTTAAGAACTTGAGGTTGCATAACAAATTTCAGTTGATCAATTGGTTTTGAAATTGGAGCAGATTCAAGAATTTTTTTGAAACCGGAGGAGGTCCAAGCATTATCTCCATAACCAGATCACTGGTCCAGGGAACAATAAAGAATTTTTATCATACAACGATCTAAGGGAAGATCAGAGTCCTCGGAGAAATTGTGGCGGAACAAGGCACCTCTAAAACATATGTGTTTTACATGGATTAAAATGCACAAGGAATTCCTTACTCAAATAGAAACTTCAAAGAACGGCAAATGCTACCTGCAACTATATGTGTGACAGAACTTGGACGACTTGTTCCTACACAGCAGCTTTTTTTGACAAATTTGAAGTCCACTTTAAATCTTATGTAGAATGAAGCGGGCAATGTTAAAGGAGGCCATCAGCAGGAGAGGCCAGAAGAAAGCAAAGCAACCCAAAGTCCTATGGAATACTATACCATTCTTCATTGTATACACAGTGTGGAAGGAGACAGGTTCACTGTATAAAACTTGTTGAGCATCTTTATCTTTTTGGGGTGCATGAAAGATGTAAATTATTGACACTTTGTTGGACTTTATACTCCTCGGATCATAAATAGGTTTAACTAGTTTTCATCATTATACAAATCTCAGCACTCATTTTCTGTTCTTTTTAACTCAATTTACTTATCAGATAGAAGTGCATGAGGTTGTGCCAAGTGGGTTGTTAGTCAAATCCATCAATGCAAATGATGTACCAACTGGGAACATAGAACTATGCAAGGATCCTGCTATTTGTCTTCCAAATAGTTAACCCTACAGGCATATTATACAAGGAAAGAAGTGAGCCAAATACAGTACTCTTGGGTTATAGTCTCCTGCTTCTCAGTTCTCCTACACCTCCCAAATGTCAGAACAGTTCCTAGCATCTACAGTTATTTATAATCATACAGTAGAACACATTGAACAATTAGTTGAAAAGCCATAATAATGCACGACTAAAAAAACCTGTACCCTAGTATTATAGCTTAAAGAAAACGGATGTGATGATCATAGTTACCTCTCAAAAAATAATCTTTCCAACTCATCATTACAGTGGGTTGAAATTTTCGGGAGCAGAACCAGGTAATGAATTTGGACAAAATGGCTTGCATTGCAAAATGGAAGGTATTCATCAGCAAAGGAGCAGGGAATTTCCCAAGATGATCCCCTAGAAGAGTTTTATTGTACCTGGAGCAGGTGAATGCGTGATAAGAACTAACGTGTTTAGAGCTTCAATACAGATGAGAGGAAACAAACCACTTAGTCAAATCATAAGTTCATAACCAAGTAGACTTACAATGTCAAAAACGTACTGAATGTGTACCATACAAGTATTAAGACCAACGTCTTCAGCACATCAGCAACAGAAACAACATTCTTTGAAATTGCTCGTGATGGACCATGGGGGTCTGTATAAGTGGAGCCTTCCCCGCCAGCACTTGAATACGTTGGATCACTTCTAGAACCGTTCTCTACGTCAAATGGAACATATCTATCTTTTCCATTCCCAGTAGATGCAACAGCCAAATCATCACCACCCTTCATCCTCTGCTTATAATTTTGTGTATCCTCGCCTACAGATCCATTTCCTACACCGTTTTGATTAACCAGTGGCAGTTCAAAGTCAAATTCATCAGTGAGCGTACGAACATTCCCTAATTGAGCTGAATGGAGGATGCCATTATCATCACACCAGCCCGAGAAGGAAGGCGCCCTCCGAAAGTTGTCAATTGCACTCTCCTCAACCTAGTCTATAATCAAATCACTCTCTACCATCTCCTTTCTCCTCTACAATCAAAGCCATCTATCTCCCATCGACAACCAAGTAAATCAGCTCAGTTGTCTAACGTAGAACTATATCTACCAGTTATCTTCACCAGACTAATTCTAATGAACCTTTTACAACTCTAAACTTACACTATTAAAATCTGATAAACACATCTTAGAAGTGATTGAAATCAGCAGTGAGCTTCCCAATCCAATTCACTGGTGGCCAAAATAAGTTCAACAATCTGCATTAAACCAACTTGAAATTTAACTCAAACCCCAATTCAAATTTAAAGTAAATCTCCCAAAATCTTGCAAAAAGAAACAGTAAAAATCAAAACTTTGAATCCTACCGAATTAAATATTCAAGAAAGTGGAAAAAAGAAACGAATACTATTTCTATTGCAGGTCTACAGATTCATAAAACCCAAAAAATAAAAGTATAACAAAGAAAAGTACATGATATTGAAGAATCAAGAATGCAACTAGTAAAAGCATTGAGAAAAGAAAGACTAAAACTGACCTGAGCTTCTGTGGGTTAATGGATTTGAATAGAAGATTTTAAATCGAGAAATTGGAGCTTAATAGGGGAAGGGGTGTGATCTGATCTTGGATTTCCGTTAGGTGGAAGATTATATAATAGAAAAGAAAAGGTTTGGTTTAGGGGGTTATTCTTGTCGTCGGTTAAGGTGGGTAAAATTGAAGGAAAATCAAACAACAGCCGACAGCTTACGCTGGGTTGAATTACTTTTAAAACGCTGAAGTGTTTTTAGATTAAAGTTTAAGATATGTACTGTGATTTTGGTTAAAAAAATAAAAAAGGAAGAAGATTAAAGTTTAAGATATGATATGGGTAATTGGGATTTATTAATACCAGATTTTAGGTTGCTAGATCTCTACTTCTTCGACAAGATATGTAGACTGTAGTTATGTGAGTGAGACGTGCCAACATCTTTTCTTTGTTCCTTTTTTTTTTCTGATTTATAATATTATTGCTTTCTTTGTATTAATTAATGGTGTTCTTGCAATAACTGTTTTGACTAAGAATTAGCAGCCGCTCACGAATATTGACATACAGCCAATTATGATTAATTTAAAAGTTATTATTAAAATATTTCATAAGCAACCTGAGAGATAAGAAACTAAAGTTGCTTTTGTGATTCTGTCAAAATAACCAATCTTCCTTGTGTTTACGAATAGCTTCGCAAATAAATCTATTTGTTTGGCTTCCTCTAAATGTACTTAAAGGTGACCTTGTTCACTTGTAGCACGTATTTGAGATTGGAGATGATATTGTACAATTTTCCGACGATAAATTTAATAGTAAGTAGACAATTAATTTCTTCGTTTAATTCTTTGCAACTCGAAACATCTAAATAAATGTGAAAATATTATACTTATTCGACTACAATCTTTAATAGAGTTGAAGGGTATCCATGTGCAAGCTAATGTATATTATTGAGAATCATGACACTATTCTTTGTTAGGTGACCAAATAAATTGCAATTGGCAATTTGCATAGACAGTTATCAGTCCAATAAGAGGACACAAGAGGAGGAGGATTCATGAACAAGGGCATATCCGATGAACAAGCTTTCAGCTTAGACTATATATATGTGATACAAGATTCATTAAATAATACAAAAATTAGTTAATACATAAAATATTATCAATAATAGCCAAATGCTGCAAATATTAGCTATTTGGAGCAAAAAAAAAATTAATTTTTGCTTTCTTTTGAGAGGGTGTTATTGGAATTAGATTGGTACATCTTAAGGAGCTTGAGTCTCAGTTTTGGTCTTTTGGATGATTTGGAGGAGTTTTGAGGTGGTTTGAATTAAAAATTCAAAGTAGAAGATGAACATGGAAAAAGATATATGTGTATCATATGTATATCCATGTATACATGTGTATGAGATACATGCGTGATACATGTTTGATATGGTGCAGAAGAAATTTTTTAACTCGACTTTAAAATGAATTTTGATACTAAATCAGTCTAGATCACCTCTAATCTTTCTCAAATTTTGTATATTGACGCATCTATATGTTTTCAATAAATTTCAACCATAGCCATTAAAAAAGGCTCATTTTTGCTTAGGTTTTTAGAATCTTGAATTTCATCTAATATTATTGGTCACGCTTAAAAATATGGAAGGAGAGCGATCTTTGCGTGTGATTCTTGGAGAGAAAGAATTCTTATTTATATGAGTTTTCATTTTTTGTATGCCATTGGCTAGTTTTGATAAGTCTATGATTAATGGCTAGAGATTGGTGTTGGTATTATTTTATACTTTATAATGCAAAATCAAAGATTTCTTTGTACTCCTTTTCCTTCTTTACTTCTTGTCTTTTATGGAAGACAAAGTGTTCCTCATTGATTGCGAAAAGTCTTTTTCTTCACTTTATAATGAATTACTCTTTGTTGGGCTTGTAAGAGCTAGTAAAAGGGAGTGGTCTCGTACACATGAGAAGTTAGTCCTGAAGGCACAACGGATTGATTCCCCCCCC